ATTAGAGATATTAGAGTTTTTTATTTTAAAATGTATCCCTCTGTCGCCATGTTCATATCAACAAGTGCTGTAATCCCTCAAATTTACCTCGCCCTGTATAGCCTAAAGTGTGATCTCATTTATATATATATATAGTTTTTCGTTGTTCTTGCACTGATCATGCCTGTAAACTGTTTGTTACCTGTCTGTACCATTCCGATTCCTCCCCCCCCTTACCCAATGCCCTGTTCTGGAACCTGTAAGGTTTTTTTTGAATGAATGAATAAATAAATAAATAAATAAATAAAAAGTTTCTTCTTTAAGCTCATGCATTCTTTCAGTGAGCTGTCACACGTAAAATGGGTCCAACGCCAAATAAAACCTCTACTGTATCAACCAATACCTTGATAATTCTCACCAAATATCTATGCGCCACTAACAATTTATATCATGTCCTCCCTTTCAATGCAGTAGCTTTAAAACTCTTTTTTCGCGCAAATTTTATTGTTTATTTCGGTGCCGCAAATGAAAAGCGAAATATCCACGCTATCCGCGAACGACGAACAAATCAAACTATTTTTTTCATTCTTTCACAACACAATGTACAAATTAAAGATACACAGGAGATCCCATGGTATGAACCAGAAAGGGACCTTCTATGCAATATGAACAAATATTTGATTGGGAACAACAGTAACAATTATATTACTAACATTATTTCAAAATAATAAATGATGAGATGCAGATACAACGGAATTACGATGTCTTCATTAACTATGTGTCATTGGTAATGAAATTATCGGTATAAGTAAATCCCAAAATAGAGAAAAAGTAACAGTTAAAGCAGATATCGTCAAGTCCAGAGAAAAACTACTTAAGCAGAATTAATATTGTCAATAAAAAAAGCTTTTCTGAGTTCATAGGAAAAATCTTTGAGTATTTTATTAGAAATAACAAACTTTTTCTAATCAAACAGCTGCTAATTCAACCATGTGTTTGTCATAATTTGCATCTACGGTAAAGTGAAGTTGTGCTGCGTGAAACGATTTATGTTACCATCGTGTGAAGATGATGATAAAGTTAGTCATAATGACATTTGTTTATCAATTACTTTTAAAAAACGTTTCGAGATTGTATTTTTCAAGGGCGGCTACATCGACAGTGTTATTTTCTTGTAGCAACTGTTTAGAATTCTAGGAGGGTGAACTTGACGTGAATAATTGAGATAGATTCGCGGTAGACGCCATTTAATGGATAACGTATCGTTTGGTTCGAGTCAGATTTGAACTTAGGCCCTCTGTGTCGCAAGCAGGTGTTCTACCACAGAGGGACAGCAATGCTTGCAACATGCATCTGGAAGAAACCCCCATACGGCTGTCATCATATGCGACGAGTCTCCTTGCCGCATGTGGTGTTGCGTGACAGCAGCCTCTCATGGCGCCAGGCGTCGAGCCATGTACTCTGTACTATGAGTGAGAGGTTGAAAATTGGAAGAAGCTTAAACTTCGCCTCTAGAGTATACATTCAGATACCGCAATATTGCCTCTCGCGCATCGCCTTCGGAACTGCTCCGGTTCTCAGTACAAGTCTCAACAGTGCCGTCTGGAAACAAATGGCTCTGGGTCAAACATTGGACGTTTCACACAGTATTACGGATTGCCTATTGAAAGCACATTCATTTCTCTTGTGAATCATTTTTCTTATGAATCAGCGAAGCCCCCTCTACGTGTCCGTAGGGCAACACGCGAACCTATGCCGCTGCTAACTTTCTTGACGGTTCAGCTGCTGCTGATGATGATGATGAATTATGTAGGAACACTTTCCAATGAATGCGTCTTTAAAAAACCCACTTATTGCTCAATCTACGTGCTTCGACGCGTGACGCGATTATACGCTTCTACCACGCAATAAATGATGTGTTAAGGACACTCCTCTAATACACGACATTCATAGAGTGCTTCTTGTAGCGATAACAATTATATGGGCAATCTCATCTGGATTGCACCGCTGGTGTCGGTGGCATCAGAGTAGCCATGAATCCCCCATATATATATAAATATATATATATATATATATATATATATATATATATATATATATATATATATATATATATATATATATATATTTATTTATTTATATAGATATATATAAGTGTGTGTGTGTGTGTGTGTGTGTGTGTGGAAACGCAATAAAGAAAAAATGATCGAAACACTCATGCGCACGGAATCGAACTTTGGACCTCTGCTGAATTGTGAGTGCAAGGCGTTACCCACTGAGCCACGAACGAGAACAACCTTCAACGTTCAAATGGCAAGCTAGTTCTACTTTTCACTTATTACTGGTGATGGGCATCTTGGGGGGGGGAGCTAATGTGGTTTCCGCATTACCAGCGAGATGGCGCTATGAGCGCGTCGGCACATCGTCATGGCGTGGTGGGGCGTGCTATCATCTTCCACGCGTAACTTGGCCCGCAGAGAAAGGGCAAGGAAGACGCCCATGTGTGTGCTTGCTTATCTCACGGTGGGGACAACCGTACGCCTTGCCTTTCACCGGGACGATTTTGTTGTAGTTACCGGGCGCACGAATGTCACTGCAATCATTGCATAGTTTTTGTTTGCGAAAAGGGCGCGCTTTTCAGACACAGCGAATCAATAACTGAGACGCTTATTCGTGTCCATCTGTACTGTGAGTACGTTTCGTGCGTCATTTGCGCATGAAAAATACGGGGCACAATTTGTTCTGCTTGCTATTCTGCACATTATATTGAATTCGTTGCTATAACGTTCATTGCTGCGCCTTTGCGGCAAAATTGTGATTTTTTTTTCAAAACATGTGTAAACAAATCTCATGGCTATGTGGTGAAACACTTCCATGCCACGCAGTAGTGCAGGGTTTGATCCGCAGTTATAGCTAAAACCTCAAACCTAAAATTCTTATTCATTTCGTTTGTATCTTTCAATGTTTTGCGGTCACAACGCTGACACCAACACCAACATTTCTGATAAACGAGCTTGTTAACGCTATCACGTTAGAAGCGCTCATTACGGAGCTCTCAGGATAATAAAATTCTCATTAGCAGTTAAGGCATGAACAAAGAGAGCAGTGACGTAGGTCGGCGCTTTGCCTTGCGAACGCGAAGTGTGCCTGTCGTAGATTAGCAAAAAAACAATTATGGCACAGCGGGCTCTATTATCTATCTATCTGTCGTATAGTATCTATACTATCTGTCGTATTTTGGATAGATTTTACTGAAATGGCAAATGTAATTCCTTCATTTTTTCGCGGAATGGCTAAGGCATTCCCCGACAAGCTAAGCCTGACTACAGATGCCAAAGGTTATGCAGAACGAGTCCCATTTACGTTTAAGCATAACACCCCAGAGGGGAAGGCCAAGCGTGCTTAAATTTATTATTGTGATAACAAACATATGGGCAGCCTCGGTTTATTTTTTACTGTCACCGCCGCAATCATTCACCGCATATGTGAACTCAAGAAAGAAAAAAAAACCACTCGTGCGCGGTGCCCAGATCGTCACGATGCACTTAGGCGTAGTTATCTCCCATGCGTATACTCTACCCGCGAAATAGGAAAGGGGGGTGTAGATGCTTGTGCGCGCACGCTTATCGCTCGGTGGGAAGAATCGTGTGCCTTCGGCTTTCACCGGAACGATAGCGTTTCTTGCTGGGCCCACAAAGGTCACTTCGCTCACTGCACAGGCCCCGTTTGCAAGAAGAGCGCGTTTTTCACACAGCGAAGTGTAACAACTGGGACATTTGTTAGTTTTCACTCATCTGTACTTGTGATAACGTATCATGCGTGATCTTTATTTAAATAGCGCGTTGGGAGTCGAGTGGTAAACGTTGTTAGTTAGGTCTCGTTCTGTGTATGTTGATTGCGTGGGTCATTTGCACGTGTTCCGCGCGGTGCAAGTTTCTCTCTGCTTGCGGTTCTCAGCGTTACATTCCAAGTTGTTGCTATCGCATTCATCGCTTCGCCCTTGTGAAGAAACTGGGACTTTCTTTTCCCGCATCCACGTGCAAGCATGTACGCTCCTCTATTCAATGTTGACACCCCCCCCACCCCCCTGTTACTCTCACTCGCACTCTCCTGGGAACGCAGCAGCAACAAAAAAGCAGTTCTTGAGCCGAGGAAACTGGCGCTCTTTAGCCAAAAATGCACGTAATGGTTGACACCAAGAAGAAGAAATGGACATGGACATGGCCCGTAGTGTGTGGGCAGAATAACCACTGGTCATTAAAAGCGGCTGACAGAACTCCAAGTGAAGGCAAACGCTTGATAGGGAGGCAGGAATTTTGGAGGGCAGATGAGATTGAGAACCTTTCAGGTATAACGCAGCAGCAGAAAGCAAGAGACAGAGTTTATTGGAGGGACACGGGAGAGGCCTTTGCCCTGCAGTGGGCATTGTCAGAATGGCGATGATGATGATGATGATCATCATCATTAGGATATTTATGCACCTTATGCTCTCAGAATGGGAGAGAAAAGATCGTTTCGCGCAATTTCTGGTGTCTTTGTCGGTGTCGGCGGATTGGTTTGCTCCAAAAAGTCTCCGTTTAAGGTGCCATCGAAGACTTTCATAAGATTAAAACGCTGCGTTAGCTCAAATACGACAGCCAAATCGATTTTTTTGTGGCATAGCTGTCCGTGTAATGTAAAACTCTTAGGTATGGAATGAACAATCAAGCAGCACTGAGCAGCATTGTTCAAACTGCACTCTAAGTATGCCTCTTGAAGTGTGGTTACTGAACAATCTACAATTTCTTCAACCTTTTCAATCCCATCAATCACGTCAACGCAACTATTTCATACCACAAGGAAAACCTATTAGAATGGTTCCGAGACCTAAAGTTGACGAGTGTTGCGTAAGAAGACATTTTAATTTCTATTCAAACATCTTTGACATAATCCGGGCGTAGATGTCACTGCCAGCGATTATGTTTCAGCACCGCACTTGCACCAGTTGCAGATTCCTAACTAGTTAGTAAGTTCCGCAAACATGCACAAAGCAGTAGTCTCTGCTGTTGCAGCGTTGACGTTCACTCTACTGCTACGTGTAAATGGCGACATAGAGACTGTCTCTAGTGAGTGTATAAGATCTTATTCTCTATTTTGCTCATGCAATCACCCCTAAAACCAGAGAAGCACAGCGAATGTCCCGCATTTTTTTTATTTTTACACAACAAAGGTTTTTTCTACAATGAGAAAATGATATACTTCCAAGCATCTGAAAATATCTCAGCTAGGTTTTAGAACAACATTTCGCAAATTAGTTTTAGAAATGGATATATTTCCGGTATATCACGTAATACGTGTGTCTTAAGGAATCCTATATGCCAGCACAACATTCTGCCTTCGGTAAATAAGTCACTGCGGCTTACTGTATTTGTGTTTGACTTTAAAACTACACGAAATGTGATTATGTGGTCGGACATTTTGAATTACGACGTGCCCGAGAAGTGCTAAAATGGAGATGCTTTGAGCTGGCAGCTTAGTGCCAACTTCAGAAGGTATCAGTGAGCCACTGTGCTTTTAAAATGAGGTATTCAAGAACTTTCACAAAAGTGAGAACCATCACTGGCTGCCCCGTGCACGACAGTACACGTAAGCACGATACCACTAGCGGCAAAGCAGATTTGTTGAATACTATATTACAGCCACGAAATTAAAGTAGATGTAGTGCTTATCCGCAAGTGTGCACCTCGCAGACAACACGGTAGGCTTGTATCACTGGATTCTATTAATACCTCTCCCTGCGGGAAATAAATCTGGGGCAATGCCGAGCGTATGCGTACAAGACGCGACGTATGCATAAACCATTATGGAGCCGGAATGAACCTGTTTTCACCGACACCTCGTTCGAAGTCCCATCCAAGCCCAACTCCAGCCCCGGCGCATCAGATGCTGCCAGTGGTGTCACGCACCGGGACGTTATCTCTTCAAGAAAAAAACACAAAGGAAGGTAGCACAAGCTATAGAGTTTCTCATAGATAAAATACAGAGAAATGTGATGCTAGAGTCTATGGGAGCTGCGCCGCTTCAGCGAGCATGGGAATGGTGGGTCACCGATAGATTTGCCTATTCTTTGTACATTCGGCTCCATTGACCTCCCGTGAATTGGACCTGCTTTGGCACGAAATGAGAATCATCAAATGTTCTGCAGTTGCACTTCACTGCCTCAACCGTTCAGGCTAACAAGTTTATTCGGGTCATGAAATTCAAAATGGTTTGTTATTTTAGTCCAAGCAAACCTAAACACTGTAATAAACTAACTCGCAACGGTGCTCGAAGCTCGCAAGCATCAATACTAGGCAAGTTTATGTACTAATCATGATAGCCATGTTCTCTGAACAATCGCAGATCCACAGTACAATCTAGTTATTTTTAGAAAACTCTTTGGCACAAGCTACACTCTCTCAGCACTGAAGATGGCCGCAATGTAGAAAGTGCTGTGCATCTGCCTTTTAGTCGTTGCTATAGGAAGCGATAACTTTTAGCATGCTCGAATAGGAAGCTACACTGATAATGTGAACAAACATTAAGAATTCCGAAGCTATAATGTTGCTGACCTAATTCGTAAGCAACTAGAGTATCTAATGTAATATTGTACAAAGGGTGGGAACAAGATAATATATTTTTTTTACTTTTAAGCTCCCCGATGATTTCGTTCAGGTCAGACTTTCAGGCTTGACCACCCGAATAATGGCACTAAATTTTTGCCCACAGTTCCTTAAAAGACGCTTAAGGCAGGAGCATAAATAATTTCATGCTTATAAACTGCGACACAGGCGATTCAAATATTGTGTGAAGATATTCTGTCACTTTAAAACTTAATTACCAAAGACCATTTCAGAAATCAGCCTGTTAAAGGTGGTTTGTGCTCTACCAAAAGGATGCACCAGCATCATCTTAAAATGAGCCATTGGCTACGAGATCTTGCACTCTCATGGACACAAAAAAAAAATTCCTTCAGAAAATTTAAAACTATACTAAACCATCCTTTATTTGAAGGATAATATAAGGCTAAGGTTGATGAAAAACACCCCGTCATTCTAAACCGAAATAAACCTGGCCTATGTTACACGATAAAACACATGCAGGTTGAAAAGTAAGGCCTAATAATTCTCAGCTCATTATGTGTTAATTTCAGGTCAAATGTTTTTTTCAAAAAAAGCCGCAGTTCTGCCTGCCGCGTGCGATGCTGTTCTATTTTGCGATGAACTTCTTAACTTAATCATCTCAGCTAACTCTCTACTATAATCTCGTGTGTTTATCTCGCCTTCGTGTTAATTCTGTCGCTGCCGCGGATGACAAGCTGTCACCGCTGAAGTTAAAATGTTTACGCCTTTCGTCTTCTCCAATATCAACCACACCTCTTTGTTCTCTGAAGTTTTCCATAGTCATCCAATCTCTTAAACATGGTCCTAGCAATTTTATTTTCATCATATACTTCGTAGTCGTTAATGTTACTATTGTTTTATTTGCACCTTTCTCAGTTTTTTCAAACATTCACAAGACCTTTATTTTTCACTCAATACCAACGACACCCACGCCAACGCTGGAATTCCAGCGAAACAAGCTTTTTAACGCTCTAAACAAGTGTCGGCTATCTACAATAAGCCATCAGAACATATCACCTATTTAAAAGAAAATTTCGAAAACGAGGGGTATCGTCACAAACAATCTGAGTATAATGTATAATAACTTTTATGGTTTCCCCAAGATTTTTGCACCGAAATGATGACTGAGAGACACCGTGAAGCGCATCAAGAATTGATATCTCTTGCCAATTTTTGCACCTCGATCAATATGAATAGTACGTAGCTTACAGCTGCTGGTAAAAAGGAACATGCTGACTATGGTCGTAATATGACTGAGATGTGACTGGGAAGAAATTAAAGCAAGGTATGTAGAACGAGGTGACCAATCACCTATTATCTACCGAGATGAATAAGAAAAAGTCCCTGAAGCAAATTCATCTTCAAATACACAGAATATCATAATGCCTGGTAGGAATGTCGTTACTTCACATAGCTGCTTCAATCGACGTAATGACAAGATGGATGCAAACATAGGTTTTGCCAGAATTAGTCTGGCGGCTAAGGATTGATGGACATGTGGGGTTTAACGTCACAAAACCATCAAACTGCAGCCGCCCTGTAGGTGGGCAGCCGAGTAGTATCTAAGGCACTCGGCTGCTGACCGGTTGGTCGCGGGATGTAATCCCGGTCGCGGCAGCCGGATTTTCGATGGCGGCGAAAATGCTTGAGGTCCGTGTGCTTAGATTTGGGTGCACGTTAAAGAAACCAAGGTGGCCAAAATTTTCGGAGCCCTTCAATATGGCATATTTCATAATATTATGGTGGTTTTGGGACGTTAAACCCCAACACATATTATTATAGTGTGATCAGAAGCCAAACAACTGGCTCTCGATGAACGTCCATGTTTGATGACAGTGCCAACAATGTTACACATTTGGAATGGCAAAACAGTACAATTCCTTGCACTCTGCCTAACAAGAAAAGGTACGGGTGTGCTGAAGGCCAGTGCAACAGGATGGTGCCAATACATTGTCATAAATGGGACGTTGGTGCGGGCAATCATTGCATCATTTTATTTTGTGATGAGTGCCAACAAATCCCTAAATTTATATTTCGCGATGTTTAAGGGCGTGAAATAAAACTTAACTTTTTAATTTTTTTTCTGTAGCCTAGGGACCTAGCGTGGCCCTGTAGAAAATATTTTGTAAACCTCGAGGACGTTTACGATTCCATTTTTGTGAGACCTGTACAGATGCAGATGCCATAAAAATCACGTCTGTTTCCACACGACTTATAAAAATAAAGTCCTCACTGATAGCTTAATGAATGCGCAGGTATTGGCAGAATAATATAGCTTAGTGAAGCTTGCTTGTTTGCTAAGGAGACGGCGACGCAGGCTGATATAAGGAACAAAACATCGTCAGGTGATCACGATGGTGAAAAATGGTGGTTAGCGACAATTACTTTACGACGAAGCTATAAGCAACGTGCGGTGCTTGTTCACAGCACATGGTCAAACGTCACTCAAAAATACTTTCTGAGGCAAATCCTTCAGAGCTACCTGAAAAGATGGAACCCGCAACGGTAGTCTGGCGGCTAAGGATTGATGGACATGTGTGGTTTAACGTCAGAAATCCACCATATGATTATGAGAGATGCCGTACTGAAGGGCTTCGAAAATTCTGGCTATCCTGATTTCTTTAACGTGCACCCAAATCTGAGCACATGGGCCTGCAGCATTTTCACTTCCATTCAAACTGCAGCCGCCCTGTAGGTGGGCAGCCGAGTAGTAACTAAGGCACTCGGCTGCTGACCGGCAGGTCGCGGGATCGAACCCCGGCTGCAGCGGCCGCCCTTTCTATGGAGGCGAAAATGCTTGAGGTCAGTGCGCTTAAATATAGGTGCACGTTAAAGAAACCAGTGTGACCAAAATTTTTGGAACCCTTCACTATGGCGTCTTTCATATTCATATGGTGGTTTCGGGACGTTAAACTCCAACAGTTATTATCAAAATGGGATCAGAAGCCAAAAAAAAACTGGTCGTCGATGAACGTCGATGCTTGATGACAGTGCAAATTGTCTTACACATTTCGAATGACAAACCATGCAATTCCTTGTACTCTGTCTAAAAAGAAAAGGCACGGGTGCGCTGGAGACCAATGCAACAGGACGGTGCCAATGCAATGTCATAAACGGGACGTCGGTGTGGGCATTCATTGCATCATTTTATTTTGTGATGAGTGCCAACAAATCTCTAAATTTATATTTCGCGATGTTTAAGGGTGTGAAATAAAACTTGCCTTTTTAAATTTTTTTCTGTAGCTTAGAAACCTAGCGTGGCCCTGTAGAAAATATTTTGTAAACCTCGAGGACGTTTACGATTCAATTTTTGTGAGACCTGTACAGATGCAGATGCCGTAAAAAATCACGTCTGTTTCCACACGACTCGTCAAAGTAAAGTCGTCACTGATAGCTTAATGAATGCGCAGGTATTGGCAGAGTAGTATAGCTTCGTGAAACTTGCCTGTTTGCTAAGGAAACGGTGACACCAGCTGATATAAGAAACAAAGCATCGTCAGGTGATCACGATGGTGAAAAAGGTCACGGTGGGGTTGTTCAAGACGAAAATGTTTATTGGTGAAAAAATTGCCTACGTAATAAAAAATCAGAGCACGACTAACACATACACTAGATGGTTAGCATAGGAGTATTCGTCGGTCATCATTTATTTAATGGTCAGTAGAGGGGAGCTCGTCTTTCATGCATTCCAGAGTTAAAGGTGGGGCTCGCATATACTCCAGGATGAACATGGTTATTTGTATCCTGCACATACTGCCACCAGAATAGATTCCAAACATTTTGGTGTGGCGTATGTCGAGTTGTGGTAACAGATTTATTGTGGATCAAACGAGATTTCATCAAAACGAAGCATAAAAGTGTGCGCTGCACTAAAGAGGGCGCAAGAACGCAGGGTAAAGTCTAGCCTTACTTTGAGACGCATTCCCAATGTCGGTCAAAGCAATGACTATAAACAAAAAGCGTTCTGTTTCCTGTTCTTCATTTTGTTCCAGCTTGCTTGAGAGGAGCAGACTATCCATGCGCATACCCCGATGGTAAGTTGTAGTTACGCGTTCAATATCTTGTAATACATATCAGTAGACGTGACTGCACGAACTTATCTTTTAACCATGACGTAACGCTAATTTTTATCCACTGATGTAAGAAAATTATGTTTATTTCTTCTTTTGGATTGCAAGTAAGCTATATACTACGTACTTTTATTATGAAGTTTTTCTTTCTTTACTGCTTTTTCCTAAGGTCTACCACCAACGTGAAAACCGACGATGTTTTGGTATTTTGCAGTTGTTACATCTAAGATGTGTAAAGCACTGGAGAATTTATTCAGAGCGTACATGAGACTGTTTTAGATTTTACTTATTTCTTTCCACAAAGGTGTACGCACCAGTTGCTATTTTTAGATGTTCTTGCAAGCGAAAAAAATGTTTTGCTTCCTTTTTTGACGTGGCTTGCATTCGACCAAATCGAGTACGCCAGTTCATTCATTATTTTTGGAACACTTCTGCCTGTTGGCACTGAACTACAAGCCCAATATGGCTAGTATTTGACCAAATAATTCACGCTAACCCAGTCATTCTTTGAAGTCCACGAATATTCGCAAGGCCCTATAAGCTCTCTTGAGAGGCTTGATGACAAACGCAATGAATTTGCAAATACTGACAGCAAGTATCACATCATTTTCAAGTTCTTCACATTCACCGCAAATCTGCTCATGATAAATCGTTTCATTGATAATAGCTTTCCTTAATGCACAAACTTTGTCCACATGTTAAATAAGAAGGACCCTAAAGCATCAGTGGAAGAATTAGGCCTTTGATGATATGTACTGATTCATTTTTTTTCAACAACATCTCGCTGGCCCCCAGGGGAGCATTGGGCAAGGTAGGCATAATTCCAGAATTAACAAAACAAATCCAATGAATCGTACCAAATTTTCAAATAATAGCGGGCAGGCAAAATGGTCCTACGAATAAATTTAAATTGAAAGGCACTGCCGTCACTCATCGTGCGTATATTTTTTGTGCCGCCTTACGCTTCATATATTAAGCAACAGAAAAAAATATCCGAGAAGAATGAGCGCTTCAAGTACCGAAATTGTGTCGCACAGCATATATCTCTAGCCAGCGTTTCGAAAAGTAAACTTCTGTTGTTAAAGGTGGCAACTGATGCTTGTCAGTCGCGGTAGCTTATAGCGCTTATGGTGCTCGGCTTCTGATCCGAATGCTGCGCGTTCGATTTTGTTCGATCGCCAACACGGTGGCCGCATTTAAATAAAGGCCAAATTGTAGAGGCCCTTGTATTGTGGGATGCAAGCTCATGAAAAACAAGGCCCGATTATCAAAATTTTCAAAGACCTGTACTACTGCATTCCGCATAATCGTATTGTAGTTTCGGGACGTTCCACCGCACATTCTAATAATATTAGCAAGTGCTGCTTGTTTATGCCTCCATGGAGACAAGTTTACTTCTCAAAGTGCTGTCAGTGGTCCTATCACCTGTTCAATCTTTTTTCTTCAGACTGGTCCATGGCATAATGTCAATCGTTCCCATGATTTCAGGACATGTACACTTCGCGCCACCTCTTGGCGGGAGCCGTACTTCACGCCGCAACTGAATAGCGAGCACGCAAAAAACAATCCTACCTCACTAAACAAATACTATAGTGAAGACGACTCTCGTGATCCTAAACTGCGGTATCAAACTTTTTTTTTGTGTAACTTCAATAGCATACCGCAAAGCACCTACCTTCCCAGCTGATTCGAAGATTTACCATGTAGCTATATGAAATGAAGGCTGCCGCAACTTTGGTATAGTTTGGACTTTGTCAAGCTCGACTGCAAAACTCAAAGAAGAGGTTGAAAAGGCGAATCCTGGTTTTGCATAGTCTTAGAAGAGATCTTTCAGTTCATATGCTGCTTTATCGAGTAGCGACAGCCACTTCACTTTCCTGGTCATTTTGTCAGCTTTATTCCTCTTTTTTCCAAAGCCCACGTCTGCTCCTACGGTGTATCGAGATGTGTCGCACAAGTTCACGGTATGGACAAATCTTTTTGAATACTGCTCTGGAACACGGATAATTCTAGCTTCTCTTATGGCATCTGGTGGCCGCTTTGCTAGTAATTGTGTCCCTCATTCCTGGCATTGACGCGCTTATTTTAGGCTCCTTCAAGCGTTCATTTCGGGGCATCTGGTTGTCTGCTTGCAATGGCTTGTGCAGAGGCAGTGTCGCATCCAGTGGGGTCTTCTTCTTGTCCGAATTCGTTGTTTTACCGGCACTTATCTTCCATTCGTTGCTTCTTTTTTCACGCTACATTTACCACATAAGACTGCAGAAAAACATTTTAGGAGCTTTTAGTTCGTACTAATTACATGAGAAATTACGACTTTCGCGTAATAATCACATTGCAATGGCAAGATTGATAAAACACAAAATGTCGATGTGTGACTTGCTGTGATGTCGTGTTATTTGTTTAATGATGAAGGAGTCACTATGCTCTAATAAGTTGGCACATTGCCGCTGATGCTAAATTCGGTATTTTGTTGCAGTGTGCACTCAATGCCCACCAAACGTCACGGACTATCCCGGCCATACTTTTTTCTACTATGCCCCAGAGAGAAACTCATGCGTTCGCATTTCAGGAACCACTGACAATTGCAACGGTTTTGTTGATGACGACAGCTGTCGAACTTTGTGTGGCTTAGACGACTATGACTAAGAAGTGTCGATATGCCTTACGATGCGTGAGTAAATATTTTGCATATCTGATTAGATTATACTCTAAGATTGAAAGTAATTGAATAGAGGTTATTTTCTGTACAGTTACAAAAGTTTCAAGCCATTTGTTGCGGCTCTACACTAAAGCAAACAACACAATTCCACTGTATCAAATAAAATTTAATGTACGGCTGAAAAAGGGAAGGAAGAATGTGTTTAGCACCCCAAAGATTCCTTTATACCAAAGAGAAAAAAATTACTGAGTTGCGTTCAATTTTAGCAAGCACTTCCTGACTATTGGACCTCACGATTGCGCGTTACTGTTTTCGGTGAATATGTGCGTGGTCTTCACCCACACATTTCAATGAAAATGCCTTCAAATGTATTTCATGAAAGAGAAACCAGCCTCTGGGGCAACTAATATATTAAATGCGGACCATTTCTTTGCTTATTGCAAACACGTTTGGAGTCTATCTATCTATCTATCTATCTATTTATCTATCTATCTATCTATCCATCTATCTATCTATAGCCGCTTACGTCTGGGTGCTCTTGGGATCACCCGCTTGACTTAGTACCTGAGAGTAGGGTAGTTTGTCAAATATGACGCCCTGGTCAGGACATAAATACTATCACAATCCCGTCACTTAAGCCGTCAAACATGTTCAGCCAGACAGTGGCAAATACCCGCCAGTGGGCATGTGCCACAGTTATGTGGGTATGTGCAATGAATGATTGACCCTTACTATCTACCCAGCAAGAGCCAGAACACATATGGGTAATACTAACGCGTTAACGTTTAAAAAAACTGTAATCAGCCGCGTTGACCCGATGAATGCAAGAAATAAATGTCAGGGGTCCAGCAGGAAATCTGCCCAAACATTTTGAGTGACAATCAAGTATTCTACCATAGAGCCAGGCCAGGTCTTCGAACTACTTTTCAAATAGACAATAATATTCATGAAACGTCAGTTGTGGTTTATCCACAACTGACGTTTCTGGCAATTCAATTTTTTATACATTTCATATGTACTACTATGATACAGCCCTCGGGTTAACGTCAATTGTACTGACGTGCCGTGCGCTGAAGTTTATGAATGTAGCAGTGTCTATGGCTACCATTCTAGCGAGCACCAGCCCTTCATATCAGCTGATCGCTTCTGGTGTTGCTCATGTTCTGGCTTTGCCCTTGTTGTGGTGTCTCATGATGCTTATCAATGCGCAAGTGCAAATAATTAGTTGTAGAAACATCAGCGACTGTTCAACGTACGTTAATGCGTGCGAAAATTGGACAATATGTTTAGTGCCATACCATAACGTGTCGGCCAAAAAAAAGTTGCAACATGGCAACCTTCCCTCCGCGTGCTCCTCATAACGTCGATTTTAAAGGTACGTGAGATCTGCCGAGTTTCTCTTTAGAGCAAAGCTGTTAACCTCTAGTTGGCCGCCATTATTCGCCACGTTGCCCTCCCAGGGCGAAAACCACTAGCTATCGATGCAAAAAATTAGGAGATGATACAGTGCTTGGTTTATGGCATAGAAAAAGAACTCGTCAATCATTTCAATTTAAAAAGACACACACGAGAAGCGTGCTAACCACATAATCAATTTTAATGAGCAGCTGCTCAAAATGTGAAGCACGCCACATACATGTGCATTTTTTTCTTTAAGAAAAGAGCTGCGCAAGAAGCCGCAGCGACCGTAACTTGCGACATTTGCTGTTGCAGATCAATCAATCATTAAAGGAAAAGATGTAACTATCACTGCAGTAACGTTGTAGGCAGTCAGTCTATACTTTGGATTTTGAAGAATAGTGCGAATGCCTAGTGAGCCAATAGGTGAACGCGGAGACGCACGCAATCGCAGTAAACTGAAGGACCCACAGAGTGACTGTCACTGCTCTTACTGTAAAGCAATGAAGCATTGCGCATACCACTGAACAGTATTAGTGGTGGTTACCCAATGCTTCTATGTAGATGTACTTTCGCAGGGCAGAGATGGTATGCTTTTTTATATTGAAGATATTCTTGATGTTTTGTCAATTGTTCTAACCTCTTTTTATGTGTGTATGCTCTAGGAGAAGATTGAATAACGGCGGCCGAAAGCACTGCAAGGACCTGAATTGTTTTACTGAAGCCCATATTAAGTTATGGTCTTGAAGGCGGAGTTTGTCTTAATAAAAACGTATAATTTTGTTCTCTGACACACTTTTCTTATGTACCCTCATGATAACACCTGACGAGTGCGAAAAAGCAGGTGGCATTCTGCTGTCTCGAGTGCAATAATGTTGTCTCGGGTTCAACACTCCAGAGCCCCAATATCAATATGAGAGACGCCACTGTGGAGGGCTCTGGCAATGGCGGCCACTTTGGGTATTTAACGTGAACTTGTGTCCAAACACATCAACACGGTTGGCCTATACCAGCAACAATGTGCCCAAGTCTGTGACCTTCTATTGGTTAGCTCGAATCACTGTGCACCGAGAATGAGCGTAGAAACAGCCTAGCTTCTCCTAGATAAAAAATAAGTACTGTGGGGACGCAACCTACAGACATCCTGCACCTCCTATCTAAAGATCCAAAGCCTAGAAAAAGGCTAGATGAATTGAAACGATGCATTGAAATAGCCAGTTTTAATGTTTCTAGCCTTGTGCGGCGTATTGCAAACTTTGCATTTTTTATCAAATGTCCACTTTTAAACTTTCCAATATCTATTCGCAACCTTTGCCTATAGCAAGCGCCATTTATATGCTTCAAATTACCCGCCATGAAGTGTCCCGTCATTGTAGAAAGATGTCACTTCCACTGCGCATTTCATGGCCTCCAGAGTTTCCGTAAACGAGATCATCTCTAGGATGCAAGATTACAAGAACGCCCTTGTTGTTATTTCCACCTGATCTTTAGAGTTTAGTCGTGTGCAAACTAAAGCGGAAACACAGCACTGCTAGTTCACCCAAGAGATTGTCCAGTTCGTAGAAGCAAAACTGAACAAATTAACAGGTACACCACAGCACACATGTCAAAGGCGTAGCAAGAACTTTTTCGGTGAGGAAGTGGAACGTGTCTATGCGTGTGTGTATGCGCACGTTCGTGTGAGCGTGTGGTGACGGGTGGGCTGTTTCATTCCTTAGTTGCCGTAGACGTTAGTAGAACAGCTACTATAGGGGGAAAAAGCGGCTTCAATTTAACGATGGCGGTTCGTGCCCCACAAATAAGAGGGCACGCTAACTGTGTCAGGCAGCAGCCGAGGTTTAATAAAAGCTTTGTACAATATAAACCAGACAGTCTTTTAAATGCGAAGCATTTTAGCGAACTCCGTCGACTTTGAGCGTATCTATCTATCTATCTATCTATCCATCTATCTATCTATCTATCTATCTATCTATTTATCTATCTATCTATCTATCTAGCCACCTACGACTTTTAGCTCTCGTGGCCGCTTCGATAATGATATTGATACCAAACTTGATACGGCATAACATGACTGTATAAAGAACATATCGTCATCATCATCACCAGCCTGACTACGTCTACTGCAGGACAAAGGCCTCTCCCATGTTCCGCCAGTTAACCCGGTCCTGTGCTTGCTGCTGCCAATTTATACCCGCAAACTTCTTAATCTCATCTGCCCACCTAACCTTCTGTCTCCCCCCAACCAGCTTCCCTTCTCTGGTTCTCTGGGAATCCAGTTAGTTACCCTTAATGACCAGCGGTTATCCTGTCTACGCGCTACATGCCCGGTCCATGTCCATTTCTTCTTCTCTATTTCAACTATGATATCCTTAAACCCCGTTTGTCCCCTAATCCACTCTGCTCTCTTCTTGTCTCTTAAGGTTACACCTACCATTTTTCTTTCCATTGCTCGCTGCGTCGTCTTCAATTTAAGCTGAACCCTCTTTGTAAGTCTCCAGGTTTCTGCTCCGTAGCTGAGTATTAGCAAGATACAGCTGTATGCTCAGAGTATAACCAACCACTATACATAGCCTTCATAGATTACGAGAAGGCGTTTAATTCAGTAGAAATATCAGCCGTCATGCAGACACTGCGGAATCAGGGCGTAGATGAAGTATATATAAACATTCTGAAAGAAATCTACACGGGATAAACTGCTACCATAGTGCTTCATAAAGAAAGCAACAGAATACCAATCAAGAAGGGTGTAAGGCAGGGCGACACAATCTCCCAAATGCTATACCGCGTGCTTACAGGAGGTTTTCAGAAGCCTAGAATGGGAAAAGTTAGGGATAAGAGTTAATGGAGAATACCTTAGTAACCTGCGCTTCGCCGATGACATTGCATTGCTGTGTAGCTCAGGGGACGAATTGCAACTCATGATTACGGAGTTAGACAAGGAGAGCAGAAAGGTGGGTCTTAAAATTAATCTGCAGAAAACGAAAGTAATGCACAACAACCTCGGAAAGCAGCAGCGCTTCGAGATACGTAATAGTGCACTTGAAGTTGTAAAAGACTGTGTCTACTTAGGGCAGGTAATAACCGCAGAGCCGAACCACGAGATTGAAGTAACTAGAAGAATAAGAATGGGGCGGAGCACACTCGGCAAGCACTCTCAAATGAGAGGTAGATTACCACTATCCCTCAAGAAGAAGGTATATAAAGAACATATATGACTAGTTATAACATGAAATTCATGACATGTATGTCGTGAATGTCATGATTTACATTTCATTGTCCTGCAGCTCTTGCGGTGGTTTCGTTCACATGGCGTGCTGCGAAACTAATATGGTATAACATGATTGCATGGCAAACACAAGCGACAGACCCTAACATGAAAATCATGACATGCGTGTCATGTAACAACATGACTACATGCCACGCTCATGATGCACTCGCGGCCGTTCTGCTAGCGTCTCATATACCAAATTTGGTATTACAGTACGTGAATGGATGACGAAGGTATGTGACTGGTGCAAACATGATAATCATGAGATGCGTGTCATGTCACAACATGACTACATGCCATGGTCATGATGCGCTGGCGGCCGTTTCGCTAGCTTCACATATGCCAAATTTGGTGTTACGTGGCGTTAACGGATGACGAAGGTATGTGACTGGTGCAAGCATGATAATCATGAGATGCGTGTCATGTGAAAACATGACTACATGCCGTAGTCAAGGCGCTAATAGATTTCGACGTGACGCAGTGTGCGTGCTCGCCGGCGTCGTAACGCCAGGCGCCGGTCCTACCATATACTCGCCGGCACGCACCGCGGTGCGTTGCTTTGACGCATGCGCGTTTCAGCGCATCCGGCGTCCCTCCGTCAAGAAAAGAGGGAGACGCAGTGGTCTCTGGGTAACGCATCGTCGCAAAATGCAGCATGTCGCATTTCGCACCGGTTGCCGTCGCGCCGCGCCGACAGACGCTGCCATCGCCCCTGGCGTCCGACAATAGAGTGCTCGCGTTTCGCTAACGTTGCGTCACTGGGCACGTCAGTGCTACAGTGGACTATATTGGGCCCTTCATGATGCGCTCGCGGCCATTTTGCTAGCTCCGCATGTACCAAATTCAGTGTTACGTGCCGTCGTTGGAAGACGGAATATATCACTGGTGGAAACATGATAATACTGACAGGTGTGTCATGTACACTCTAAGCCAAAACGGAGCAACAGGGGTATAGGGGTTGCTCCTTTCAGGGAGCAATTGCATTGCCACTCCCATTACTCTCCTAAAAGGAGTAACTGCAGAGGGAGGAACCGTTGCTCTCCTTTCAGTTCCTCCTTCGGGGGATGAACAGTTACTCCCTCCAGTTCCTCCCTGCAGACCAACAGTTACTCCCACCAGTTGCTCCCTGCCGACCAACCATTACTCCCACCAGTTGCTCTTCTAAGAGCAACAGTTACTCTTTACCGTTCCTCCCACGTGTTCGCAGTTACTCTCTGAAAACCAACTGCACATGCTTCCAGTTACTCCTTGGGGCAATGAGTATTTATCTTGAGTATGCTTGTCACACGCTTAACACATGGCGAGAGCTCCTTGGAAGAGCACTGCTTGGGTGCTTCTAACACAAAAAGTGGACAATATTGAAAGGAAAATAAATGCTTTATTGTTCTTTTTATGAGGCGACGTGTGACCACACGTAAAAGTAGATTTCGCCACACCACAGCCAGCACTAAACAAACACCATAATACATCAAAGGTTTTCTGCGTCATCCGTGGAAAAACAATCTTGAATTTCTAGCATAGGGCAGTCTGTGTCATCATTGGTGAGAGAAGGGCAACTTCTCCAATTCTGAAGAACTCAAGTTTCGCAGCTGGTGTTTCCATCAGGCTAGCGCAGCAGAACGTCACCGCAGGCATATGTGAAGCATCTCATTGCTGCAAGAAAAAAAATAGAGGTGTGAGGTTAAACATGCCAGAATCAATTCCTAACAATGAGTCACACACACTGCAGCAGCGCTTACATTCTAGGATGTCTACTGCAAAACGAAATGGGAAAAAAAGGAAGGTTCGGCCAAACGTTACTTGGCAAACCATATAAATGCTGATGTGGTAGACGCTCTTCACATGATGTCTCAGACAGCAATATTCTGGAAGAAAATGTGCAGCACCTCAACAAGGCATACTTGTAGCAGTTAAAAATACCCTTAGGTTCAGTTAACTTGTTTCCTATACACAGCTGAGTGACATTTCTATGAGCCCATTCAACAATGGGCATTCTAAATGAAGGTCATGTGTGTGGCAAATAACACGTACTGTCCGCTCATGTTAAAATACTTATTTAGCTCGTGCACATAGTTGCTCTCGATTCTACTGTTCTATCATACGCTGCTGCGTCTTGAATTGTGCAATACCTGTAGGCACAAGCCAAGCATGCAAAGCCTGCTTGAAAGCAACCATTTGCAGAGGCCACATGATAATCTTCAGTATATTTCTTTGTACCTGACGCAAACGGCTGGACAAAACTATAGACAAATAAATGTAGACCGTGCTACCTTCAAAAAATGCTTTAAATTTAGAAAACTAGGGTGCATTTGTTCACTCGGTTGACGAGTCACAGCCACGAGATATGTAAACGAAGCAATATATCTTAAGGCATGCACAGATATTCTGATTCTTTGTTTGACAGTGTCACCGATAGCTTGCCAATACATATATATTTGAGAGCAACAAGATGTGAAGCTTTTATTAGCTCAAC